GAGACACAACTTACAAGAGTCCAGGTGCGTGATTACCTCTAACCTTTCATCTCAGACATAAGTTTTTCTTATTACCACTTTCACACCTTTAACTGATATACCTACCAAAGGGTTGCCATCCCATCCGCCATGCATGCAAAGATTGGGAGCTGCACATATGGTTCATTTTTGTTCCGATGAAAATAAACATTCAACATAACTTCATCTTCAGGTTAATTAATACACGTTAGTAGGGTTTGTACAGGAACCAATATCAAAATCATTGGTCAATTCGTAAACAGAAAGGCATCGACCAAGAAAGGGTAGTTTGCATTTCGAAAAATGATCTGCATGTGAGTGTGTCTGGCCACAAAAACCAAAGGAAGCAACAGCATTGTCATTGGTTGGTGGGTCGGACATTTGAACAGGGCAAATTTGAAACAGTCAGTTCTTTTGCCCTTGTACACAACAGCTGCTTACCTGCCGATCTATACCAACCACCATGCACACACTCTTCAAATTCGAAATCCAATATAGTATATTCCCTCCCAATTCTATAGGCGATGCATAAAATTTATTTTCTCAAAAATTTATCGGTATTTTATCGATAATTCATAGTATTATCTACGAATAATACTCTATTTTTTTTCAATACATATGAAACTAAAGATTATATATGTTAACACAAAAAATACATAGCTTATTTCTTATTAGTAAGCTAAATCAGTTTATTAATTTCCTATTTAGTAATTGTTGTTGTTTTTTTTTTTCAGACAAACAGTTCAAAATTATTAAATTTTATATTATTATGGGAAGAATTCTCACAAACATTGTTAAAAGAAGGTTTGGAATCATTACAAGTCTAGAAAGAAAAAACATTATTGGAAGGTGTTTTTCATGTCCATGGATAAAATTTTGAGGCTCCTTCGGAAAGTGAAGGAGACATAGCTACTAACAAAGTACTGTACTCTGTCCACCTCATTATATTTATGGTTCTTATCGAATTTTTTTTATTAAATAAACCATTTTAATCATTATTTTTAATAAAATCATATAAAATTATGAAATATGTTTAAAAGGGGATGAAGGGAGTGTATCATTTATTATGATCATATGATTGGGTCCTAATAAAGCTTTAATTAGTGATAACCTATCCCACCCATTTTGCTAAAAATAAAATAATAAAATAAGCATATATATTCATAGAAAATCAAGGTGCATGTGTATGACAAGTCATAATTACTAATTAATTAGATAGAAAAACTGTCAATTTTTTTTTCTAAGGTTCTGGATGACAGGTGACCAGGAGGGAATTTGATGCAAAGAGATATACATTGGAAATTGGGGTTGATTAGTGGTTAGAGTTGATTGCTTAAAAAGCTACCATTTTGTTGCCTAACAAACCATAGTCCTTGGGGAAGAAATTTAAAGGAAATGCAGTCAATGTTTAACTTTCACAGAATTGCTATAATTTGGTAAGCAAAACTTTTCTTTATTTCAATAAGAAGTGTGGTCTCTCTCACTGGTATAAATATGATGTAAACAGCAATGAATAGAAATGGAAAATACTGCCTTCTTTTGCATTTTTTAGTCAAATTGAGAGAGTTATTTTCACACTAAAGAAAGAATTAAGCTTAATGTAACCCAAAAAGTACCCGATTAATGATATTTCAATTTGAGCTGGAGATGTGTCTGATAAATTATAAAAAATTACTTACACTAAGGGTATGTTTGTTTTAAAGTAAAATATTTTTCAGAAAACGTTTTCAGAATTTATACTTACTTAGACTGAAGAAAATTGATTCTAAATGTAAAATATTTTCCGAAGAACAACAAAAACACTTTTATATTAAGTTTATAAGTATAAGTTTGATGAATATTAATATTTAACTTAAAATATTAAAAAATAAAAAAATATTAATATTTTGTTTTAAAATTTTAGTTTAAAAATATTAATATTTAAATTATACAACACTATTAAAATTAACAAAATATTTTTTAATAAAATAATTCAATGCAATTAAATTTTTTATTTATAAATTGAACAAATTTTACTAATAATTATAACAAAAATATTTCAATGGTCATTTGATTAATACACATTTATAATAGGTTTAAATCTTACTAATAATTATAATAAAAAATATTTTAATGATCATCATTTAATAAATGCATATTTATAAGTGTAGGCTATGGATATATTACACAATTGATGAATATTTATATTTTTATAGTTATAATAAACAAGTGATGAGATGAAATTTTTTTTAAAATTAGAGTTTATTTCATTGCATATATATGGTTAAATGCTTTAAGAAATATGATTATTGATTTTATCCATTTTCATTTTCATTTTTAATTTTGATCCCAAATTAGTAAAATTCAAATATTAATATTGTTTTGTAATCAAGTCCTATTTATTATGTGAACACCTAAATAACTCTAATATGGAGGAAAATATTTTCTATAGGATGATTCAAACAACAGAAAATGTTTCCGACAATTCATCCAAATAATTAAAAACATTAAATTTTCCTGTAAAATATTTTACACAGAAAATTTTTTTTTACAACAAATCATTTCTCGATTACCAAATGAACCCTAGTTTTATATTCTTTGGTTTTTAAGAATACCAAACGATTTTTGCAACAAAATTCACTACTTAATTTTTCGGTGTTAAATTTTAATTTTATTTTATCCAAATTCTTGTTTAACAAAAAATAAAAATAAAAGAGAGTGTGACATTAATTCCCTGGTTGTACTTGCCATAAACGATCGATGGGAAAGTTTTTGGTTACCAATAAAAATATTGGTAATGTTTCATATCCAACAATATATACTAATCATTTAAAGCTTAATTAGTAAGTGGGTCTTTAACATTAGTGAAAGATGTGATAGATAACCACATTCCAAATCTTAATAAATAAGGAATGCCCAGTCATCAAGACTTTAAAATATTGATATATATATATATATAGGTTTTGGATATATAATTACCATAAATATATATGTTCATAATTTTTAATTTTTTCTAAAAATTAAGATCAACATGTAATAATACCGATTTCCGAATTAACAAGTACAATTCCTCATCGTATTAATTGTTATTGAAAATTTGTTTTTTTCTCCATGTAACGTGCACGCACGCTGATAACTATATTTAGATAATAGCGTGTCATTTACGAAATATGAATGCTAAGGAGACGTCAAAATATGAACACCCGGATTAATGTTTTTCGGGCAAATTCAGACTTTGCGTTTGAGGTTGCAAAAGGGACAGAAAATGAAACACAAAATTGACCTTATGTCTACCCTATTTTGTCTGTTACATATCATCAATTAGCCCATTTGTGAAACAAGACAAGAGCTGGAGAAGAGTGCATGGTTCTTCGTGGCCCAATCTTACACCATGGAAACTTCATTGGTTCAATATCCCAAGGCTTGGTAATTGCAAGTTAGGGATGAGCTTTCGACGGGTTTCGATCGGTCTATTTTTTACAATTTTAAAAATCTAATTAATTTAATTTTTTAAAAAATTAATTGAATTAATTTAATTAATTGTAAGGCTTGGTAATTGCGGAGCCTCACCTTTTCAAAATTTTAAAATTTTTATTATATTATATAAAATTTTTAAATGAGTTTTTCAGAATAATTATTAATTTTATATATTATATTTAACTATTTATATTTATGTATTATAATTTTATATTTAGTATTAATTTGAAACAATAACTGAATATTGTCATTTCTCACTATAAACCCTGCACCCGTCATTGACGTCCACCTTTATTAAATTAATAATTTTTAATATTAAAATATTTTCAAATAAAAATGTATAAAAAATTAATACCTCAAACAATTTGTGATATTATTAATTAAAAGAATACAAACCTAACAATTATCATCGCATTCCTCCGCAAATTGAGACAATTGGGAAGAGGGCATCGTCACCAATTTTTGGTAACATATTTATAAGGCAGTTGCATTGTGATAAAAATTAATTTGAAATTAACTTAATTGTTATCTAAAAATAGATTGTTAAGATTTTTTGTTACTGATTTCGATCCAAATTGCTAATTATTTGAAATGTTGTTAGAGATAATAATCAGTTGAATATCCTTTTGTTAAGATTCAACAGGATGTAATATATATATATATATATATATATATATCATAATCACTTATCCAAAAGAAAAATTAAATTAAAGTGGGATAGAATCAATAGTTTTTGATTTGAGATTAAGTGGATGGAGATGGATTTGTGAAGATCCAAATCCATTTTCCACCATAAATGGATCACATCAATGAGAAAACAACAACAGTTGGGAGTACATCCTGCTTCATGGCCCATTATTATATGCTCCACACTTCATTACTTCGTTGGCCCAAGTTTTAGTAATTGCTAGCTAGGTCCATCCATCCGATTTTAAAATTTCAAAAATTAAATCAAAAATCGATGAAAAACCTAGTTAAATAAATCGTCTTTCTTAATCCATTAATATCAAATTTAATCGATTATTTCAATTAGAATCGATTAATACTCGTTCGTATTAAATATACTTTTCATTTAAATTTATAGGATTCAATCATAAATTGTAAAAAGTTATTTCGTAATTTTTAATTTATTTTTAATTATCATTCGTATTTATAAGATTCAAAGTAAAGCGTAGAAATTATATTTATAAAATAAGTAGTGATATATAAATTCAATTATAAATTAGAAAAAAAAAATTGCACCCATTGTTGTCACATTTATATAACAAATTAATGCCTAAGATTAAGGAGGACAGCCACCCAAAGTGTACAAAAAGAAAGCTCAAAAGTTCAAAAAAAGGAAGCATTTTTACTGCTATTGCCTATTGGAATTACAAAGTCAGGCTAAAATGGCCAAATAAAAGAGGAGACAAAATTGCAACAAACTCCACGTGCGCCGAACTCCAAGTCACGTGCTGATCTACTTAATATCTCCGCCACGTAGGATTCCGACAGCCTCAGCTGATTACGGTCGGAAAAGTTGTGGATTTTTTTATTAAATTTACTTTTCAGACAGTGCAGCCGCAAAAGAGAAAGAAGAAGCAGAGCATGGAGACCAAGGCGACGGACTCGAACGCCGTGATCAGACCCCAAACGACGTCGTCCACGACGGAGAAACTGAAGCTGCTCAGCTCGGGCCACCCGAAGAACCCCCACCTCGGCAAGAGCATCGAGGAGGAAACGAACTGCGGCCATCTTAGGATCGACGACCGGAACGATACCAGCTCCGAGGCTACCCGCCGAAATGCTAACGTGGCCCATCTCCCTGCCATTTTTCTTTTGTCCCTCTCCGTTTCGCTTTTCTCTATCTACTGGACTGAACTCTAGCAGGTTGTAAGAAAAATGTGAGACTAGAGAGGGTGGTTTTTATAGTATTAAATAGGAATGATACAGTACATGCGGGTTCATATTGGAAGCATGAACTTGAGGAGTCCATTTTGCTGATGGACGGTTGTGATTTGAGATTCAATTGTAGTTGGACTGTCTTTGAAATTTGTCATGGACTTTGGAGGGAAAAATTTGTGAAATGCCATCAAATATTCAATTGAATTTGTCTTGTCCTATGTGTTAGTTGTCTTCATTTGAAACCATGTCCTCCTGTTTGTTTTTTCAAGGTTTTACCTCCTAAAGACTTGCTAAATTTTTGAAATTTCAATTTAGATAGACAAAAATAGTCTACTTCTAATCCACTTGCTCAAATAATCCAAACCTATCTACTATATTTAGGGTGGTCTATTTGATTGGTTCGATTCAAAATTTTTTAAAATCGAATTAATTAACATGGAAAAATAATTGAACTAATCAAATTATCTCGTAAAATTAAAATAAATAAAATCAAATTAAATTGGTTAGTTGGATTGATTATTTTGATTATAATTAGATTGGTAAAGTTGCTTGTTAATTAGATAGATCAATATCATACCCAGGTTTCTAATTGATTCTCTTAATTAATGTTTAGTGATTAATCAAAAGGTGTAAAAATATAAGAAAATAAGTTTCAAAAGGAACAAAGTAGCAAAAACATAATTCCTGCCCATGCAAAATATAAGTAAGATAGAGGTAGTGAGCCAATCTCCTGCTACAAGCAGACCAACAGATGACTTGATGCTTATGTTCATTGACTTCTGTTCAATCTCCTCCCAAGGAGGATAATGAATTTCGGTTAAGTCACATGCTTACTGTCATGGATTTTTACATTTTCAATTCAAAAAAATATATATTAAAATAAAAAAATATTTATTTTTTTATTTTTTATTAATATTTGATTGGTAACATTCAATCACCATACCTTGGTCTGGTCTCTCTTCATCTTAGTATTTCTTGTGAGATTTTACATCAATAAAGATTTAAGTATATTTTAATATTATTTATCACGAACTTATATTTTAAACTCAAAAACATGCTGAATAAGTTGTCTTCTCCAACTCATATATGCTCTTTATGTCTTTGTTCAATATTTGCCCAACACCAATGTGGAAGTCCCCACACAACCCATGTTTAATTATCGAATTATCAGGCATGCAGCAGTGAGAGAAAAGGTTTTGTTTTTTTTGGAGAGGGAGGAAAGATTAATCAACTTATTCTATTGGTTCAATCATGAATCTTCTATACAAAAAATCAATCGAATGTATACGAAAATCGAAATAACCAAAACGAATTCAATTTATTATTTCAATTTCGACAGAAATATGCTCAACCTTACTTAGTTTTAACTTTCAACCTCACCATTTATAATAAGTATTTTTTTATAATCAATTTTAACATTTATATCACAATTAATTAACATTAATTATATATTTTTATTTGGTATCATTTTTTTTTCCTTTATGTGGGCTTCTTGGATTGGAAAATTTTAGAGGCCCATAACTATTTTGGGTTTAACTAAATTATTCAACTTGCATTAAAAAACCCATTAATTCAATGAAAGTAAAAAGCCCAAGCCCACTTTATTTTATTTTCATTTATTTATTCTCATTTCCAGGCAACTTGCAACTTGCAGGTGTGTCAAAATCTAGTTACTACTTACTCCTAAAGCACACAAAAGAAGGAAAAAGGGAATTGATTTTCACTTGACAATCTCTCTCTCTCTCTCTCGCGTCTCCACCTCCACGCCACCACTACCCACCCTACGATCCCTCTTCTTATTCCCTTTCATTTCTTCCCTTCAGTGTCATTTCTACAAGCACAAAGGGCAAGCATTGGATACAAACCCGTCTTTGTTTTTTGTATCCAAAAGCAAACGAGAATGTCGCTTCGACCAAGTACCCGAACTGAGGTGAGGAAGAAGAGTTACAAGACGGGAGTGGATGCGGAGGAAGCCAGGAGGAGGAGAGAGGACAATCTGGTTGAGATCAGGAAGAACAAGCGCGAAGACAATCTCCTTAAAAAGCGGAGAGAGGGCCTTCTGCTTCAGTCTCAGCAGCCTTTGCTCGATGCGGCGCAAAATGCTGCGGCTATTGAAAAAAGGGTACCTTTTTTTTTCTTGGTTTTCTTTTAAATGTTTTTCCAACTGTTTTGATTGTTGGGTTTGGTTTTTGTTTAAGGGAGAATTTGGGATCTCGATGCAACTGATAGTATTGCTGTTACTTCTCATTGATATCGTTGCTGTTATTTTTCAATTAGAACTGCTAATTCTTAAGATCAGTAAGGAAGGATTTTTATTTAGTACCTTCATTGAGAAAAATGAAAAGATTTAATGGAGATTTGGGTTCTTAACGCAATGGAGATCATTAAACTCACTAGATTCAGGTTTTTTTTTTTTTCTAATTTTTACTGATATGTAATTATAATGGTAGAAGTAGAAATATTTGATAAGGAAAAGGCTTTTTAATTTGAGAAAGGCAATTTTTTAAAGCTTATGTAATAGGGTAGCTACTTTTTTTTTTTTCCTCTCCATGTGTTGGTTCTGAGATTTGCCTGGCCTTTCAATTAAAGGGTTTGTCTTAGATTCCTGTTTGGTTAATTGGCAAAAACGGGGGAAGTGGAGCTTTAAGGTTGTGGATTTAGGATGACAATACTCTGATATTCTCTGATCTAGTAGGAATTCAATGAAGCATGGAGAGAAGTGCTTTCTTCAGTCTCAGGAATTGCCAGTGGCTGTTTGGTTTTATTACTGGTAAAATACATGTAGGTGGGAAAAAGACTTAGCATTTTAGATCTCTTTCAGATGTTGGGAAAGGTTAAATGTCTATTAGCATGCTGTTTTTGAAGTTAGGATATCGAAACATCAATTCTGCTTCAATAGTGTGGAAAGGATTTTGTTATGGTTTTGATCCTTAATATTTTAGGCTTTTTATTATTTGGATCCTGAATCTAGTATTCTTGATGATATCTAACAGTTGGAAAGTATTCCTTTGATGGTACAAGGGGTGTGGTCCGATGATCCTGCCTCACAGTTAGAAGCCACAACTCAGTTTAGAAAGCTGTTGTCAATAGGTAAGTTATATTTCCTAATTCGTACTCTTAGAACAGTTCTTTTCTAATGGAATATGCCCATTTACATTGTTGATTTTCATCTGTTTTACCTGTAGAGCGCAGTCCTCCAATTGATGAAGTAATCAAAGCTGGAGTTGTCCCTCGGTTTGTGGAGTTTCTTGGAAGGCAGGATCTGCCCCAATTGCAAGTATGATGTTTTCTTTCTTTTGTTTAAATTGAAATAATTTGTTTAAGAAATAATATTATTGCAGAGACTAACATGCCTTTGATTTTAGTTTGAGGCTGCCTGGGCTTTGACCAATGTTGCCTCTGGCACATCTGAGCACACACGGGTTGTTATTGAGCATGGTGCTGTCCCAATGTTTGTGCAGCTGCTTAGTTCTGCTAGTGATGATGTTAGAGAGCAGGTCAGTTCTTGTTTCAGTAATAAATCTGTATCTTCTGTAACTGTGTAGAGTGACAAAATTCTCTTACTTTCCATGTAACTTAGATCATTAATGTTTTAGTTCTACATTTTATGCAAGTACTATACCTGACACTGTATACTTTAACTTGATTCTTGTTTTATGTCAAACATTTTTTGTTTATCCCACATTCAATCTGTGCGCATATGTTCTATTAGCTATTCCTTTGCTGCAACAGTTGATGTGTTTGCATCCTCACTTAGCCTTTTTTCTATTTAGGCTGTATGGGCGTTAGGTAATGTTGCTGGTGATTCACCAAGTTGTAGAGATCTAGTTCTTGGTAATGGTGCACTTATGCCACTGTTAGCTCAGTTAAATGAACGCTCCAAATTATCCATGCTGAGGAATGCTACATGGACATTATCTAATTTCTGCCGTGGCAAGCCGCCAACACCATTTGAGCAGGTAGAGACTGTGGAAGACTTCTATGAAAATTGTCATAGAAAAAGTTTTTAAAAATTTAGCTTAATATCGTTTTTTGACATCATATATGTGGGGTAACTTATGGTAGTTGTGATAACAACCCTTGTTTTCTTTTCAGGTGAAGCCTGCTTTACCAATTCTTCGGGAACTTATCCACTTGAATGATGAAGAAGTTCTGACAGATGCTTGCTGGGCACTATCATATCTTTCAGATGGCCCAAATGACAAAATTCAGGCTGTGATTGAAGCTGGGGTCTGTGCACGACTGGTGGAACTTTTAGGGTGAGCTTTGCATATCCTACAAAGTACTTGAATGCTAACTACCTTAGGTTGCAATAGATATTATGCACCCTCTCCATTTTGGCTGCTGCCAATAGTTTTTGCCTCTGTCACGGCGTTTTTATTTCTGTATACCTTCTGGGTATTATACTTGTTGCAATATTTTGACAACTGCCGCTGACTAAAATTCATTTGTGCCAGTCACCCATCGCCTACAGTTCTCATACCTGCTCTTCGGACCGTGGGAAACATTGTCACTGGTGATGATAATCAGACTCAGGTATGAAGTACATTGTTCACAGCAGTCTTGACATGGCATTTCTGTGCAAAAGGGCATCATTACTGTTTCTATTTTGGATGCTGGTTGATCTTCTTTTTTGTTGTTTACTGGACTCACTTTATTTGTTTCATTTGGATTGCTCATCAATCATCTTCAATCTAATTGGTAGGATATAGTAAACAAACTATATATTTTAAATTGAACCAGTAATTCAAGAATTTATTGTCATGATTCTTCAAAGATAAAGAAAGGTTGTTAACTTGTTTCTTTCTTTTCTTCCAAAGTTGCAAAGTAACTCCTAGTATATTTTTCAGTTTGTGATTGAAAACAAGGTGCTGCCTCATCTCTATCAACTTCTTGTACAAAATCATAAAAAAAGCATCAAGAAAGAAGCTTGTTGGACAATCTCTAATATAACAGCTGGAAATAGAACTCAAATACAGGTATAGTTTTCCCTCTACCCAGTTCTTTTTATGAAGATTCTATTGTCTCCATGTGTGCAGTGGCCTAGAAGGCATGATGATGGAATCATCTTCTTTAGCTGCCTAAGAAGTGCCTATTGTTAGTGAAAAATTCCAAGGTGTCAATAAAACGTTGCAAATCTTACTTCAGAGCCAATGGAAGCATTGCTTTATTTGGAGGGTGACTTCAATTAACAGTGTCTTTCAAAATTAGAAGCACTTGTACTGTTATTGATTATTTGTTGATTTTCTGTGGCACAGGCAGTTATTGAGGCCAATATTATTCTTCCTCTTGTACACCTCCTTCAACATGCAGAATTTGACATTAAGAAGGAGGCTGCATGGGCCATCTCAAATGCCACCTCTGGAGGATCTCATGAGCAGATTCAGTATGTTGTGCTCCGTTTTTTGCTTATGATTCTCATTTTTCTTTTATAGATCAGATATTCATGCATGTTTGTTATTGTTTATAGAAGACACATGAACACATGTAAACCTCCACACTTAGATTTGCAAGATACACACATGCATATAAGCTGATGTTATCCAAATGCAGCATCAGCATAAGCATCATGGTGAACACATGTATGATCACATATTGATGGGTACATGAACTGTCGGCATGCTCAACTAAATTAGCTAGTTAAGAGGGCAATAAATGCAGTTAGCGAGTGTTTATATACTGTCTCCTCAAATTTCTTTCATCCTCATAAATTTGATGACAATACTATATATCAACATTTTGGTATGCATCTAGATTGTCAGGATATAATTTTTAATATGTGAATAACAGCTGTATTGGCCATACTTTTTTGGTAATATGTAATGAAAATACTTTTCTCTGGTCCTCACTTGAGTAACCTTATAATATTTCTTAACCATTTCACTTAATCATATGCATGTGAGACAGTGAGAGACAGAGAGTCTCCCTTGAATGTGGCAAACCTTATATGATCTATTATTTTGCAGATTCCTGGTGAGCCAAGGTTGCATTAAGCCACTCTGTGATCTACTAATCTGTCCAGATCCACGGATTGTGACCGTGTGCCTTGAGGGGCTTGAGAACATTCTGAAGGTTGGTGAGGCTGATAAGGAAATGGGAATGAATGGTGGAATCAATCTATATGCACAAATGATTGATGAATGTGATGGATTGGATAAAATTGAAAACCTTCAAACTCACGACAACCATGAGATTTATGAGAAGGCTGTGAAGATCTTGGAGAGATATTGGGCTGAAGAAGAAGATGATGAACAGAACCTCCAAGATGGTGGGAATGAAAATCAGCAAGGCTTTAATTTTGGAGCTAACCAGCCCAATGTTCCCCCTGGTGGCTTCAAATTTGGTTGAAGTGGTTAATTTGGGAATCCGGCTCTAGTTTTGTAGGTGTTACTACTTTCCTCACGGTGAAATTTTTAGACTTGTGTTTGCATTTTCATCGCTGCCAAAGGGGTCAGGGTTTTTGTTCTGGCGCATAGGCATTTGCTTTTCTTCTTCTTTTTTCTTTTTTGTGGGAATTATTTGAAATGTGTTGAAAGGGTTTTTAACTTGATTTGTATTTCTATATCTTTCTATATTCCATAGGAAAAAAATTCCTTGTGATTGTGTTAAATCTGAAATCAGCTTAATGGTTTTCTTGTACTATAAGCATTGAGAGTGAAGCTTGTCCTTGTCCTAAATCAAAGTTGGACAGGCTATGCTACTAGTAGAAAAATAAGCTTATTACAATGTGCTGTGATGGGGCAGCCATAGGATATGAAAGAACTCTAAGCTCTGAAGATTGTGCTATGTAACTGGACACTAAAAGTGATGTTGCATCACTTGCATTACACATTCCTTAACAAAAGAATCTGATAGAGATGTTTTGCCAATTTGTAAGAGCTGTTTCTAATGAATTGGGTTTTACTCTTTTATCTTCTTTATGATTATAAGTACGTTCAACAATTTGTGCTTTCATTAAAAGAAGTTGATCACTATCCTAATTTCCATAAAGGGGCAAAAGAATAACTATCCTAGTACTTTCAACCTAGCCAATACAAGACGCCCTATGCGCGAAAGTCCAAACCCAGGCAAGGCAAGAAGACGGGACAGCCCAGGAAGGCAAGAAGACGGGACAGCCCAGGAAGGCAAGGCCAGGCATTTATTAAAAAGGGTGGGTGCTTTGTTTATATAGGGATACAAAGTCCAAACTGAAGCACCCAAATTCCTGAAAAAGAAGAAAGATGTCAGAGGATGAATATGGAGTGCTTCTCTATTACAAATACGCCTCCATCCCTGATGTCGATTCCCTCCTTTCCTTCTACGACTCCAACTGCAACTCTCTGGGTCTACTCGGCCGAGTCCGTCTGTCTTCCAATGGCGTTAATGTTACCGTAAGCTCTGCTTGCTATTGCTTTATCTGCAGCCTTTTCTGTATGAAGTTGCAATCGTTTGGGTCTAAGGATCATTGGGTCTTTTTCTGTTTTTGGTAAGCAGGTTGGTGGGTTGTTGTCAGTATTGGAAAAGCACATCGAAGCCGTGAAGTCGAATAGTTTGTTCCAAGGAACTGACTTCAAGCTTGCTTCTTGTCATCATCCTTTGAATGACAAGGTTGCTCTTGAGTGTGGCTTTACTTCTCTTTCCATTCGTGTTGTCAAGGTTTGTCCTAAGTTCCAACCTTTTCCTTTTTATATTATTTTTCAACTGCTTGTTATATTTCGAATGTGATTGCTATGGAGTTTAAGTCCACTTTGTATTGTCTTTGTTTGGATACCATGTTCTTCGGAACTTTTACCAATGTTGTGTTGACGCTTCCCCCCATTGTAATATTTTTCGATCTGTTATTAGGAATTGGTTACTTTTAGTTCTCATCCCCTGTTAAAAGCTCCAGAGGTTTCTAATGCTGGGAGGCATCTCTCTGCTGCTGAGTTCCATTCTGTTCTTCAGAGTGCTGGTATTCTATAGCCTTTGGTTCTTCTGAATCTCTCATTTTTCATGGCTTATTAGTTACTTTTTTATATTTATTTCACGTCATGTTTTTTGCTTGTTGGCAAATGATTGTGATTTCAAATTGTGTGTTTGTTAATTGAAAATTTTATGCTTTTCAGGGCAACTTATGGAGAATGGAAGTCCAACTGATGATAAGCAGCTGGTTCTTTTGGATGCAAGAAATTTATATGAGACAAGAATTGGCAAGTTTCATTCTTCAAGTGTGGAAACACTGGATCCAGGTATCAGGCAGTATAGTGATCTGCCTGCTTGGATAGATAATAATTTGGAACAATTGAGAGGAAAACATGTCCTCATGTAAGTACTCCCTTGAACCCTGATTATGTTCTGTGGAGGTGTATTCGCGTTTTTCTTTCATGCCTGTCAATCATTGTCTTTGGATTCAAATCTTATTGAACAACTCTTCAGCTATAATTTTTGCCCCCTTTTTTCTAAATGATATTCTTTTTGGTAGGAGGTGTGGAGACTTGAGTTTAAGCTTAATTATATGCTTCTCATACCATTTGGAGATCTTGTTTTTAATAGGCTTGTGTTACAGGTATTGCACCGGGGGAATCCGTTGTGAGATGGCATCAGCCTATATTAGGTCAAAGGGTCCTGGCTTCGAGAATGTCTTTCAGGTTGGCTTCTTAAACCAAATAGAAAATTGTGTCAATTTTGCTTGTTTATCTATAGAATAACTTATAAGTTGATGTTTACTTATGCTGATAACATCACCTGAAGTAAGTAAGCTTAACCCCTTCATGACAATGGCAATCATAATATATCTCTAATGTATTCTCTTTATTGCAGTTATTTGGTGGAATACAGCGCTATTTGGAACAATTTCCTGATGGTGGTTTTTTCAGAGGAAAGAACTTTGTTTTTGATCACCGGTATTGTTTCATAGTTGTCAGCATGCTATTTTAGAATATGTGTTAGTATCGTCTTATTCTGTCAGTCTAGGCTTCTACATTGTGAGTGGGTATGGATCGTAATTAACACGGACAATTTTGCATGTACCTCTCTGTATTGCTGTTAGGATCTCAGTTGGGAGCTCAGATACTAATATTATGGGTGCCTGCCGCATTTGTGGCTCTTCTTATGACAATTATTCTTCACGCCGCCGCTGTATGCACTGCAGAATGCTTGTGTTGATCTGTGATAGTTGTCAGGTATGTGCTACAATAATCTCTTTAGTGATCATGTTTTCACAAGATTCCATCTTTTCTATATTTCATCATTATTGTTTCTGAAGTTTGTCAATTTGGGTGGCAGCTAAAGAGTGATGCGTATGTTTGTGAGCTGTGCCAGAAACATTGTAAGGAAATTGGATCATTTCGATCTGTGGAAGATAGTAAGCCTGAAGCACTATTGGACAAAAGTGACTTGAAAACTGGTTGTTCAGATCCCATAATCTCATCTCAGTTGCCTTTAAGATATGGTAAGGTCTGTAATTCCTTTAGCGATGAGCAAGTCTTATTGAGTAATTCAATGATTAACTCAGTTGGTGTTAGTGATACCCTTGACAGGTTTTATTATCTTTCTTATGTCTTATGATATTTTCTCGAGGATTTATCTTGAAGCCTATCCTTAAATACTGAATGCTTGATTCATCTAGATGTCCTGAGTGCTCGAAAAGTTTAAAGTTAGAATTGACCTCAATTTCCTTTTTGCTGCTCCTAACTTTGTTATAACTTCTATGCCACAGGCAATGGGCCTCCAAGGAAACTAAGGATCTTATGCTTGCATGGTTTTCGGCAAAATGCTTCCAGTTTTAAAGGAAGAAGTGCATCATTAGCCAAGAAACTTAAAAGCATGGCTGAACTTGTTTTTGTTGATGCACCTCATGAGTTGCCATTCATTTACCAATCTTGTATGGAAGCAAACAATAGTTGTGCACCACCTATAGGACAACATGCTCCTCCACCAGAGAACTGCAAGAGGAAGTATGCATGGTTGGTTGCACCTGATTTCAGTGGAATCAGTGAAGCTGATTGGAAAATAGCAGATCTGCCGTTTGATCCTCTTCAGTACCAGGGCCAGACAGATGGCTTCGATGTATCACTAGCCTATTTAAGAAAAGTGTTCTCCGAGCAAGGACCGTTTGACGGGATATTGGGATTTTCACAAGGAGCAGCAATGGCTGCTCTAGTTTGTGCACAAAGAGAGAGGCTAAAGGGTGACATTGATTTCAGATTTGTGATCTTGTGCTCTGGGTTTGCTCTTCCATTACCAGCTTTCAAGCAAGGCTTCATTAATTGCCCTTCACTTCATATATTTGGTCGCGATCCTGGTAAGGACAGGCAGATCACAAGTCATACCAGCAGATACCTGGCATCATTATTTGAAGATGGTTGTTCTGTTATCATTGAACATGAATTTGGTCACATCATTCCTACTCGGCCTCCATACATCGATGATATAAAGGACTTTCTTCAACGTTTTCTCTGATGTATTGGATATGCACTATCCTTTCCATATTTAGAAATAACATTTAGCTCTTGAAATGGAGTATGGAGAGATTAATTCCTTCGAATATGAACTGATGGCCCAAGTGTGTGCTAGTCAGCTGCTGCATTTTTATGGGCCAAATTTAACAATTCTTTGCTGATAAAATTGTTGGGTTAGTTCGAATTTTAAAATTTTCAAATCCAACAGATGAAATGTTAATGAACAAAAAACATTGGTCCTTGCCCTTATGAAAGTACTTAGTAACTAGATACAAAAAACCCTTAATCTTAATCAAATGAAGTTCCCATTTTTGCGTACCGAAAGGCAACGGAGTCAACTTAAAGTTTTCTTCTCTGGGTTGGGTACGATGAAGTTTCTGTTTCGAATGGTAACAAAGTTTAACAAGAAGCCGTCACCAATGCCCTCTCATTCATTTACAAAGAGAGAGATAGAGACAGAGAGAGAAGTCAAATGAGAGACAGCTAGGGTAGTTTCTCTTCGGTGAGTTCAGTAAGTGCAGGAACTCCTTTCAAGTCTTAAACCCTAAACTGAAACGAACTCTCACTTCATAAACCTCTTACAAACCCCAAACACAAAACTGTCAACTTCAACTGAACAGACATTGGCAGCATAACACACCCTTTTGAAACCCAACAAAGGGAAGCAACAAAGATGAAGACTCTGAGTAGGAAACTGCTGCAACAGTTATCCTCCAAACAAGTATCTTTCTTTCTTTCTTTTTCCTTGTCTTCCCCAATCCTACTACCTCATATCATTTTTCCCTTTGTGATAGGACTCATGGTTTTATGATCATTGGCTAGAATTATCAAGTGGGTACTTTTCAAGCAATATGCGCTCAAGGCATTTGCTTCAATTAAACTTCTTTCTATTACTTTCATATTGTTTTTTCTTTCTATTGGGACATTGAAATACCATTGTTGGATTCAATTTTCAAGTTGGGTGCTTCCCAGTTTGTCCATTAAGATGGAAATGAATCACATCATTCGTGAATTCTGCAGATTTTTTAGTTATAGCTGTAGAAGGTTGCTTACTTGCTTTGTGATCTTTGTTTTTATCAAATTTGCATTCTTTTTTTTTTTCCATTATTCTTTTGATGATTTTGATTTATGATCGAATTTATACTTCCTCCATGTTATATCTATATGTAAGGTCTTCTAGTTCAAAGATTTTACATCTTTTTCCCGAATGTTCTTTTTCTTTGAACTGAAGACTGAAGGGTATCAAGTATTCAATCAGACAAAATTTCATGCCCGGATGGTGGAATTCTTGATAATATCAACCTATTCTAAGCTTATTATTTCTCTGTTATAGGAAAAATATAAGTGATTATTCTATCGGCTGTTAACCTTATTGTAAAATACTTGCCAGGCTATTCGTCACCATGCATATTCTACTAAGGCAATCCCAGATTTTGGGCAACCAACTCCAGCATCTCATCCTCAGGTCTGCTTCTTAACATATCCTCAGTTCCTTATCAATCGGTGTTAAAATGTGGTAGTGATTTTAGAAGTGTGATGATTGCTTTCGGATGATTACCTTGCAAAAACAAAATCAGCGTTATTGTGGATAAATTGGCAATTTGATGTGGTCAGCCTCTTGGACAAACAGAAGCAGCTATCTTTTTAGTATGCTTTATTTTTAATTAGTACTTGTTCTAAGTTTTTTACTACATGTTTTACCTTGCAGTTAATGAACGAAGGGGAAATTACACCTGGTATAACTTCTGAGGAATACATCTCAAGACGAAAAAGATTGTTGGAACTTCTTCCAGAGAAAAGCTTTGCCATCATTGCTGCTGCGCCTATAAAGATGATGACTGATGTTGTGCCATACACATTTCGACAAGATGCAGATTACTTGTATCTTACAGGTTGCCAGCAACCTGGTGGAGTGGCAGTATTAAGTCAAGAGTGTGGTTTATGCATGTTCATGCCGGAAGCAAAAGCTCACGTATGTGGTTTCTAATGTCCAATGCTTTTCTTGCCTTATTTTGGCAGTAAGAAGGCTTTAATTATTTCATTTTTAAGGAATTGCTTCATTTGGACTTGGTATTGGGCATGGAAGTAGGTTGACATGAAATAATCATGCTATCTCTATTTTTGTAGAGAGGCTTAGAAATAATTGCTTCTTGTCATTTTCATATGCATGGCAATGTTTAAAGTTTAGTCTAAATTCTATGAAAATATGATGTATCTAGGACATTGTTTGGCAAGGACAAACAGCTGGAGTTGATGCAGCACTGGAGATGTTCAAGGCTGAGAAAGCTTATCCCATGAGCAAATTAAATGAGGTGATATGATAATAACTTCTAGATATGATAACTCTGCTTTGGCATATATGATATGATAAGGAAAGCGATAGCTTCTTTCTTTTGTCGTTTTATTTTTTAAAAATAATGCCTGGCAGATCCTTCCAGGTATGATTAAAAGATCTTGCAAATTGTTCCACAATACGTTGACAGCCACACCGACCTATACAGATATGGAGACCTTTCAAAAGGCAGCTCATGTTGGGAAAGTGAGTGACCTTTCCATTTTCACCCATGACTTACGTTGGGTAAAATCTCCTGCTGAACTTAAGTTAATGAAAGAATCTGCATCAATTGCTTGTCAGGTACTTCTATGTCTACCCTGTTGTTCCCTCTTAATCTGAAATTTATATAATTTATAATACACAACTATTTTTTGCATTAAATATGTTTTGCTATCAAGCTTTATGAGGTCACAAATATCCGAGGACCAGGTAGGAAATCATCATTATTTTGTGGTTGTCACTGTTACTTCATATTGATGTGACTTTTGGTATGTTTTTTTTTTAGTCTTGATGAGGTAATTACACGAATGATTTTCATGCAATACATGTCTTGCTCTTGGACAGGCTCTTTTGCAGACAATTTTGCATTCCAAAACATATACTTATGAGGCCATGCTATCAGCAAAGGTTGAATATGAATGCAGAATGAGAGGTGCCCAGAGAATGGCGTAAGCTTTTGCCTTTGTAAAAGACTTGAACTATAGAAGCTATATTCTTCCACTTTAAGAATTCCATGCTTATTTCAAACCATGTTTGGTGGAGCAACAAACATACTAGCAGCTGCGGTAGTCAATTATAATTGTGAACTTAACTTCTGAATTGTTTTACTCATTAGTGTCATTGTCCTTCACCAGATTTAACCCCGTGGTTGGTGGTGGGCCTAATGGTAGTGTAATACATTATTCTCGAAATGATCAGAAAGTAAGTTTATTTATTGTAAATCTGGTTTTTAAATCACCAAAAAAGTGCAAATACGATTTTACTTCATGTTGATGTGATGATCAATGTTAAGATTTGACTTCATCAATTGTTTTTCAGATTAAAGGTGGGAATCTTGTTCTGATGGATGTTGGATGTGAGCTGCATGGTTATTGCAGTGATCTTACTCGTACCTGGCCACCCTGTGGAAGCTTTTCTTCTGTACAAGTATGTTTCAATATGCACCATCTTGTCTATTAGATTCTGGAACATCTGAAAATGCTTTTGCATAGTCAGTTTCATGTGAATTTGTGTTCTTTGCATGTAGAAAAGTATTATTGAAACAGTTCTCTTTCTTTATCATGCAGTGAGGGTATTTTATTTTGAATGTGTGATGGGGTTGAAATGTTCAGCATGTGTTTATCTATTTGATAGTAACTTATTCTCTTTATTGATGTCTTATCTATGATATGCTAAGTAGTTCTGGGATGAATACCTGCCTGCTTTTCGTGGCTTACTTCCTTAGCAACTTTTTGATTTCTTCTTTTGTTTACTTTTCCCCCTAAAAGGCTTTAGTCATGTTAATTTTCTATTCTGTAACTAGGCAGAGAACCCCAGTAGAGAAGCTTATAGCTTTCATTGTGAATTTTTCAGGAAGAGGTTTATGATCTCATACTACAAACAAACAAGGAATGTATAAGGCTTTGCAAACCTGGTGCTAGCATTCGTCAAATACACAACTATTCGGTATGGCATTAGGAATTCAAAAACAGATTGTTCATTTGTTACCAGCACATGTTGAACTATAAATAAAGAATACATGCAATTCAAAATTAAATAATCTATTTATAAAAGGAATTTAATATGTGCATACACCAATGTATTCTAGTTTTCAACCTTATAGCTATCATTAGGTTTTCCAATATGTAGTTTGTTAAAGTTCATGATAGCTATAATTTAGTCCGAATGTGAAGAAATCAGATATTGATCTTGTGTTACTGGATCCATATTGTTTCCACATCATTTTTCTGTTTTATTTTATGCTTTCAATTACTCAAAGAGTGGCCAGTAATGCTTTTTCCATTGTCATGCTGTATTTTTGTACTTCCCAAATGAGTCATTGATCTTATTCATTGTTTACTTGTTCATCTTAATGGCATTGGAAAGTTGTGCTTGTTATTGTAAGTGCACCGGATATAGGGCTATTTAATGTATTTTGATGTGGAAATCACCTAGATGATCTCTCTGCTTCCTTCAAGGGAGTATATTTTTACCAATTTTTATTTTCTTGTGGAATAAGCATTCCTTTTGATATCTATCTGGCAATTTCTTGAAGTGTAAGTGGCATTGAGCTGTAAAGGAATGTTATGATTGTGTAAAGCTGTGTGTTTTCATAGGTTGAACTGCTTTTCAAAGGACTGAAGGAAATTGGGATTTTGAAAAGGGATCAATTTAGATCCTATCACCAATTGAACCCAACTTCAATAGGTTTGTCTAAGCTTTCATTGACAAGCTTTTTAGTCTTTTTCTGGAAACATGACCTTGTTATGACAAACAGGCTTTCAAAATATTAATATCCTTCTGTGTTTTCAAAATTGTGAATCAAATGATGAAGACTATGCCTGATTTTATGTCCAGGTCACTATCTAGGAATGGATGTCCATGATAGTTCCATGATCAGCTATGACCGTCCTTTGAAGCCAGGAGTAGTAAGTTATCTCTTTGAGTGAAAACCAATGTCAACGTTTTCAACTTGCTTCACATGATATTAGAGTTTTTTGTTCATACCTACTATTTGGTGGAATATCATCTTTTTCACTTTCAAGAAATTTTCTCACTTAAAGTAAACAATAGGAATAACTTTTTCACATGGTGGTTGGACTGGTGATATCAACAACCTCCATCTTAAACTTTATCTACTGGAATGTTGATGTGAATTTACTGTCCATGGCAGGTGATTACCATTGAACCAGGAATCTATCTCCCATCGAGTTTTGATGGTCCAGAGAGGTATTTATGGAGTCCACTTGGCTAAATAAAAGTTCCATTGTAAATTCAAAACCTCACAACCTGGTGCTTCCTATGAACCATGTCTTGATACCACTTATGATGTTTGCTTAAATTCTACAATCATGGGAACTCAAAAGTGTGAATAATCACTCTCATGACAAAATTATATTACAGTGCGACAACTGATTAAGGATTTCCTGGCCTTATGTTTCTATTCACATATACTGTTATGTAGGTTTGCTATGATTTTTGTCATTGGTTGAACTGCTATATTGGTCATAAGCAAGATGACCCTAGGTTTTGTTGAGTGCATATACTTATGTGTTTTTTATTGACTCTGTCTTACCGATCTAACACTGGACATCCATGACTGAGTTGTCAGTAGACGATAAACATTACTATACTAAGTGAATTTTGCTATCATGATAGAAAGTCCTTATATATATACACGAGGACATCAGATTGAAAATGTTGGACTGTTTGCATTTTGAAGTCACTGCCCTGGTAAAGAGTCCTTGTGAAGTTGCGTCCTAAACAGATTATACTATTATATACTCCTTGTGCAAGTTACTTAGTGATGATGTATTGCAGGTACCAGGGCATTGGAATAAGGATTGAAGATGAGGTTCTGATTATGGAAACGGGTTGTGAGGTACAAATTCAAACTGCATTCACGCGATATCATTATAGCCTAAACCTAGGAAAAAATGTGGTTGTTCACCAATCATTGGTCTTTTTGCTGATGATAGCCACTCGAAGATGGTTATTATTACTTTTTCCTTTTCATTCTTAAAGATATTTCGTATATGATGGGACTTCTTGCTGATAATAATCACTCAAAGATGGTTATCATCACTTTTTGCCTTTTCATTCTTAAGCATATCTTTCTATTTGATGTGACATATTCAGTAAAATATTATACATAAATCAGTTAAAGTAGTTGGTGTAAAAAGGGCAGAATCATAGCTAATGAGAGCTTGTTCTTTCAGGCTTCTTGGGGGACATTTTACCAGACAGTAATCATTATCAAATTATTAGACTGTGGTCAGTAAATCCTTCTATTTCTTGTTGCTCTCTGATTGTGGAATATGGAAACAGGTTCTTACTGGATCAATGCCAAAAGAGATCAAACACATTGAATCCTTGCTGAACAATTACAGTCATGGAATGGAAATGGAGGGCCATAACAACATAAAAGCTGCAACCAGTTGATGGTGTCTTGACATTTGTCAGGACCTTCTGGCAGTGGAAATCATTTCTGATGCCTATTCGGACTCAAAGGAGATACAATTTCCAGTTCTGCGCAAGTTTCCAGATTTCCTGCTAAAATGGCCTGTCATGTGGCCACTATGTATACCCTTACCCTTTTCTATCAGGATCCTCCATGTTTCTCCTTGTTTTGTTCCATGTCGCCAGTAAGAGAGAGCTATCACCCGATTCTTTTCACCTTTAGGCCTGCAAGTTTGTAAAGACCTATTTAATTGTTTTACATTGATAATCAATAAATTTACCATTAATCAGGGGGGAAATTAGTTCCTTATTTGGATTCATCTTTGATTTACCTGAAACTCCATCAGTTCTTGTCCTCTTTTACCAGATTTAGTTCTGGCATAGTGAGTTTGGGTGAAAACCTGGTAACACTTGTGCAAAGTGGTATTAATTGTGGCAACTGACCATCAATGATATGTTTGTAGAAAACAAAGATATAGGCACTGTGGACCTTCCATGTACAGCAAGCATGGCCATAAGTCCTTAACTACCCCCTTGACAGTGCTAGAGCAAAATATTAATGGCTGCTCCTACCCCCACTCACTGATAGGAAGCCAGTTTATGAGCCTAGTGATTTGCACTTGCTCCTCTTTCAATTTTGTTAGGTCTCTGGATGGTGATAGAATGACATGTACACTGTTTCTGAGTGGTACGCACAAATCATTAATCAAATATTCAAATCATCGATTACTCAGACAATATAAAAGGACAAGCCCGTATATAAGTGATTTTCCAAGTTCTTTATCTAGAACAATTACAGAATACCAGTCTGCCATTATAATTAGAGAAGTTTGTACGTTCGCTCTGCAACTCTCATCCGTTTTCAGTTCCATAAATAGATTCCCCCCCTCACCCTAAATCACACCTGGCATATTCCTATTGGAAGCTGCTTGGGCACCGACCGCTTGCTTTTTTTCTCCCTTAATTTCTGCAATAAATATTCCAACTACATCATAAATAGTAAGGGGTTGCTCTGCAGAATCTTATGCCCCTGTTGTTCACCTAAATTACTCCCCCGTTAGTTCACCAAAAACACCTATAGCAAGCAATGAGCAGACAGCCCCGGAGCCCAAGGGGCATTGGCTAAGCCTAATCCATCCCTTGTCCTTGAAAATAGCCGCCAAAATCATTGTCTTGTCAAGCATGCAGCTAGACAAAAAATTTCGCCACCAAATGGGAATATAGAAATAACTTGGTACCCACAGGGTGATAATGGCTTGACGACTATATCAACCCCATCCTCTTTGAGGTTCCAACTCCTCAGAATCTTTCTCAACAGGCACAAGCTGACGAGTTTCAGAGTTTGATCAAGTTGTAGAAAGAAGAAAAAATGTCTCTGCTCACCGACGAGATCAAAGCCAGTGCGTCTGAAATTACCATGGGGATGAGATCTGTCAGGAGAAATCCAAGTTTTTGCTTGAGGAAGTTGGCATGCCCAGGGGGCTTTTGCCCCTGAGGGACATTGAAGAATGCGGGTATGTGAAGGACACTGGTTTTGTGTGGCTCAAACAGAAGAAGAGCATAACCCACAAGTTTGAAAAGATTGGGAAGCTTGTTTCCTATGCACCCGAAGTCACTGCTGTTGTCGAGAAAAGCAAGATCAAGAAGCTGACTGGGGTAAAGACCAAGGAGCTTTTGCTCTGGATCACACTCAGTGATATCTATGTTGATGATCCACCCACTGGCAAAATCACTTTTAAGACTCCTGCAGGGCTGTCCAGATCTTTCCCTGTATCAGCGTTTGAGATTGAAGGTGAAGTCAAGGATGCCAAGGAGAAGAAGAAGGAAGAAAAGGATGTGAATGAAGCTGTGGTAGTGAAGGGGGTCTAGATTACTTTCGATTTCAATAGGACAAAGGGGTTCATCTGTGACTCTGCGTTCATGATTTCTCCTGTCCCTTTTCCTTCTGGATGTGCTGTCTTTTACCTAGTGTCTTTTCACTAAAATCACTAGTAGCAATAAAGAAAATTGTTTACAATTTCAGAATACCAATGTTGCATTTCCATTGGTTATGATACTACTACTCCCATCATATTTATCGGATAGGTACCTGAGAGAGCCTAATGTTGCATTGTTGCTTCAACCTGTTGGAAGGCACAGTGGTTTTTTTAGTGAAAAAATGTAGTCTGTTTTTAGCTAGAGGCCTGTGTTTCTTGCTTGTTTCTCTTCTGTTTCTTTCTCATTGGTTCGAAGAGAATACAACATATTGACCACTACCTAACTTTTGAATTTTGAAGATTGATGGGTCATCTCTAAGATAATAATCTCTACTTTTGGATTCCATAAACCAAACAATCCGATGCACATATTGGTAAACAGAGCATCAAGAACACGAAACTAGGAATTAGAAAAGCCTGACATGGACTTCTTCCACATCAGAACCAATGAGATGGTCCGTTCTTTACCTTAAACTCATAAGTTTAACAATATTGACCGAGGAGAGTGTCAAAATCAGCCTGCCTCAACCGCCAACCAGAACAGAGCACTCAACTACATATTAATGCATGAACCACCCATGATTTGAGTCCACCGTAACAACCGCATCATGAGAGTTACTTTCACGATTTCATGAAAAAGCCACACAAAACTTGTATGAGAAAGTATGGATCATTGGATCATTCCACTGCAAAGACTAGGAAAAGTCAACAGAACTGGAAAGAGTAGGCCATTCATTAAATGGCGCTTTATATATGCCTCTACTAATTCAATGTTGCCTTTAGGTAATCACAGTCTAAAACAAATGCCTATGAATGCCTAAAATTGGTTACAGAAGCAATCACCAGCAACAATGTGATAAGCTGAAAAAGGGAAAAGACTCGCCTCTAATTTGATTCTGGGAAAAAGGCCCACAGGTGGTGCATTGTCATGATGGATCATCTGACAATCGTCATCACGGACATATTGCAACCTCTCCTTCTGCAGCAATCATGACTTAACGCCTGATTACACACAAATCACAATTAACCAACATAATAAACTTTACAAAGCTACTTGGGCTGGAATACACATTTTTTTTATTAGCAGTAGAGGTGTCAAATTGAAACTTGGAAGAAAGAAAAGGGTGCACGATGAGCCACATCATGATAGGTACATTCCAACTGCCAACAATATTGTAAAGACGGAACAAGTTGCCATCATTTGACAAGCAGGCGTGTTGTTGTTAACCAGTTACTAAGGTTTCGATCACACAATCAAACCCCTTTCTGATACCTTCTCCCTAGCTCTTGCACACACAATCACTCCCATGCATCCATACAAACAAATACAAATATGTGTACAGCACATTCAAGAATGTAGTCTCCTTAAGATAATAGACAGGTGCAATAGTCTCACTGTCATGTTGTTACTGATTTTGGTAAATTGCAGAAATTTTGCAAACATAGGGATGCGATATTAACAAAAATTCAGGATCATTTTGACTAGTTTATAAAGATTCAGGGACTAAATCCATACTTAAACAGCAAGCCTAAAAGCCCATTTGCAAGTCTAGAGAAAGGTAGACCATGTTTTTAATTTTCCCAAGCAAACCCCATGAAACACCATTGAAGAACAAATATCTACAAAGATGTTGGAGCATTTAGAGAGTCATTACCTGGGAAGCTGCAACCCATTTTCCATCAATCCAGTCCTGATGCAGCCTTAACTCACAGTGTTTAAACTTCATTTTCTCATTGGTAGTCCTAAAGAAGACTTCATATTTTGAATCAGAAAGAACCTTAGAAATCAGACCCACCCACCAGCCATCATTGTAAAAAGCATCAACTTCATCAAGCTTTTTGAATCGATCAGCCACAACAATTGCTGGTGGACAAGGCCTAATGTGCAGGGTATCAAACTCCTCCTTTAAGAAATCAGTGTCATCTTCAGTTCTCAAGCTCTCATATTGAATTAGGTACCTGTCCTTCCCCATTGCTTTAACAATAGTTGCAGCAAACCAAGCACCTTCAAAACCATCTTCATCACTGGTCACCTCAACATGCACTCCTTCACTAAACTTTTCCTCTGTTGTTATCTTGCCAGATCCAACTTCTCTCCACTCCCCGCTTTATCAGACTCTAACTTTTCTTCAGTTGCGACCGTATCTTGATACGAGTACAATGTAATACTTGTCCTATGCGCTAGGATCATGTCGATCTGTATTGCTGAGGGCAATCTCATCATGACATAAGCACATGATACAACAACATCCAGGTCACGTGTTCTAATTTAACAAGGTGCCTCCTGGTAATCCATCTCTTGGAATATAGTTCGGATGCATATCTGTACATCATGTGCGTTTGTCACTTGTTTGTGTTTGCTGTGGTGCTCTTTGGAGCTAGCTATACGGTTTAGAGAGAACCACGCAACCATCTCTGATCTCTTAATCGCAGCGTATTATGAATGTATATATGTTATTGCGGTGGCGCGCGTGATGGTCTGGTCTGATACGTGTTTATGCATTATTGACTTGCGGGTTCGCGGTGGTCTTTCGGAACAGGGATTGAATCTTAGCTCTAAGGATGTTGGCCATTCGCAGTGCTTATACTGTAGTGGCTTGGGTTGCGTTTGGCTGGTTGTGCTAATATATGTTGTTAATAGTGACTCTAGGTGGAAGCTTGATATCGAGTAACACGCTATTGAGCCCGACTGCGTCTTGTTTGTTACATTGTGAGGTTATAAATGTCATCTTTTAATCTGGCTGTTAAGTATTTCTGATGATTTGTATTGTGCCCTGCCCTGGCACATCGCTCAATCCGCTATACCTCGATGATCGTCGGCATCTGCTATGGTCCAGCATAAGATAGATTCTGACACTCGCAGTGCTGGTGGGCCAAGTTGTGTTCTGTCGCTCGAAGATGATATATATAGTTCCTATGCTGGAAGTGTTGTGGTGCTGCTATCGTGAATGGCATTAAATTTCGCTAGGAGTGAACGACGTCTCCATGTTTGTCTTGGCGGCAATGGCCCACTTCATCCGAGTTTAGTTGATTTTGTGGCGGGTCATCTGTACTATCCACTCGCTCTCTTAAGTAACAGCTTTGTCAGACTCCAGCTTTCCTTCAATCACTTCTTTGTCAGAATTGTTTTCAATTATTTGTGCTGTTAGACATATATCTCCTCAGTCTTTCCATTGTTAGGCTTCACTTCTTTTTCTTCTGATGCTTTCTGCAGTTAAAAATGTGAAAGATAGGATGCACACATACCTAAGACACTGGAAATCATACCTAAAGGACATTAAAATAACTTAGAAAAAATTGAATCTTCTGAACCTTATTTCTTAAAGAGATTGTTTAGGTCTGGCATCCTGCTTCTTCCTCGAAATTTCCCCTTACCCTTCATTTTACAGCTTATTGAAACTACTCACCGGTATACACCCTTCCCCAACTGCTGTCCTAACCTTAACCTAGACATATGCACAACTACACACATGCAAAGAGAGAAAGATAGAGATACACCTAACTCCTCTGTTTAGTCAATTATGCATCCATCAACTGTTACTTACAAAGTACAAACAATCAACAACAGTAACAAATTACAACCAATTTTCAGAAACAAATTCATATGATTGACTTCCAAGTTTATACATTCAATCATTGTCTCCATCATGAATGCAGTTTGACATAATTGAGCAGCACTACCAGTTTCCTGAAACCAGTACCACTATCTAATAACAGATTTATCAATGTTTGTATCAGCACATAATAGATTCAGATCCTCAAACGGAAAAACTATTCCTTCTATTATTCTTCAAACCAACAACAAACGTATGAAACAACATAAGATGAACTATATAAACAGAACTCACATTTATAAACATTCTAAACAAGAATACACTCCAAGAAACAATTCAAAAATCATAATTTCTTGCATTTTACATCATCTTTACCTTGTACTTTCTATTCCAACAACCAAACAGATTAATAATAATGCAAACAAACAGCTTCAAAAAAAAAAAATAATGCAAACAAACAAAAAATACCCAAAAGAGCTTACCTCCTCTACTTGCTCATCTTCCTCCAATGGTGGCTTCCAAGACCCATTAATCCACTCTCTATGAAGCCTCAGCTGATCCTCTCCAAACTCCAACTGCTCTTTTGACCTCTTAAAGTAAACATGAAACTTTCCATTCTCCAACTCCTTAGTGATCATCCCTTCCCACCAGCCATCATGGTGATAAGCATCCACTTCTTCACCGAACTTGAACTTCCTAGCTCTTTCTCGGGGGGCCAGAGGGCGTAAATCCGCTGCGTTAATGGTCTCCTTCAAGGGTTTAGTCCCGGTCTCGTCTTGGAAAAGGTGGGTGTATTCGACCAAAAACTTGTTGGGGTTTCTTTTAGAGACACGCTTGATGATCGTGCCGATGTACCACGAGCCTCGGAATCCAGGGTCGTTGGAACTGATCTCCACTTGGGAACCTGGTTCCAGGCCCGGGAATGCCGGATCTTCGGTGGCGGGGGCTGTGGTGGGCTTTCGTTTCGGTGGCATTCCTTTTCTGGGGGTTGAGAGAAATGGGTTCTCTTGGGCCTTTTTGGCGGGAGTGAGAGACAGACAGACGGGGTGTCCGGAATCTCAAGTGGTTACTGATGTCGATCACTTCCGAGTAACCAATAACTATATGACTTTCGAATTAAGAAGGTTGTTATGTTCTACTTTCTTTTGCTTTTCAACGTTTTATGTACAATTTTTTTTCCATTACTGCACTGTGCAAAGTTCTTAGACTAGTTGCTAGTGAGTTATTCGGATTCGAGATTTGTTCATTTTCAAGACAAGCTTGAGTTGGAGATTTGTTCCTTATCAAGACAAGCCCCAGTTCTAGCTACTGGAGTACCCGGTTAAACATTTTTAATACTCGTTTCGAGTGACTCGAGGGCTCAGATCGTGTGACAGTGTACCAATAGGTAAGTAAACACAAGAAATTCAGTAATATATAAATTAATGGAAAAATCAATAACCCATTATCAAAAAGAGATTAAAAACAAGAATCAAATAACCAACACGTACAAGGACCATAGGAATGGTCAGTGACAATGTTTCCTCAACCAGATCTTCTTCTCTTCTTTGATTTATTTGCATGAGATCTTACATTCTTCTTTGACATATTCTCTAGTTTTTGCTTCTTGCTCTGCTGTCTGCTGCCCGGCTGCTCTTCGCTGTCATCTTCCTCAGTGGATGGAGAGTCACTCAAAGATGCATCTTCATCTGAACTAAGTACCAAGTCTTCCACAATATCTTCATCTACACCAACCCCTTCCTCTTGTTCCATCTTTCTCTTCTTTTTCTTCTTCTTCTTCTCCTCCTCTTTAGGAAGCTTGGCCCTGTTGGAAGATAATGGTTTCAGAAAAAAATAAAAAGTCATGGATAGGAAAGAAATTGAGTGCACAAGTGCATGTCTATCTCTTTGCGCAAATGTGCATGTGAGAGAGAGAGGGGGAGAGGAAGAGAGGTAAATATGACGATCCATACTTGATATCACCTCCTGGTAACCAGGAGGAACTAAAAACAGAAGCACCGTCCTCATCCTCATCCTCGTTCCTGATATCATCTTCTTCATCACTACCTGGTATTCGATCAAGCTTACTCCCAAAGACAGCAGACTTTTCACCCACGAGAACACTGAAAATACATGCATGCTACGTAAACTAGTTGTCTTCAACACAATTACAATATTTATAGGGATGCACCCAATGAAAGAGCAAGATCATAGACCTGGATTCCATCATTAAATCATTTCTTTGTTGTGCTCTTTGGCGCAGAGTTACGACATATTGTGAGAGAGGACTAGTCCCCACCTTCTTTTCATCCTATGATCAACAAAAAGCTTAGTAAATCTTCAGGATACCAAATCTATGTTAAACTGAAGCTGTCAACGGATCACAAGCTTAAACATCATTATGCAGCTCACAAGCTTAAACAGGATAAAGGCAATAGCATACAACGGAAAAATTAAGAAATAATAATTGCACAGACCTCAAGAAAAGAAGTTGCTGATTGATCATTTGGTAGAAATGTAATTGATGCACGCCTTTTATTAGTAAACTCAGTATTAGCCTCAATCTGATGTGAAAGACATGAAACAATCAGTAGCATGCACCCAAAAAATTAGCAACATGTAAAGGAGCCCGCTTATAAATAACAGATTCACAAACCTAACATGGAATTCTTTTTCCATAAATCCCATTTTGAGACATCTCCATTACATGGAGGACACATATGATAATCAATCTAAAGGATGTACCTGACGAATAAGATGCCTCATTTCTTTGCGAAATCTTTCAACTTTAGTAGATTTGCAGAAGGAACGCAGCCTCTGAGCTGGAATAAAAGACAATTCAAAGAAAGCAACAGAATAGCTCCATTGAGCTAAATGTTCAGCAAGCTCTTCAACCACAGAAATTACACATGCCTCCTGAAAGGCTCGTGTCTTCAGAATGGGCTTGCTTACCTGAAACAGAAAATTGTCTAAATTTACACAGGAATAGAACTGCTTTCTTAACATTGGAATAAAATAAACCATGTTTCAAAAATACCTTCAGTGTTGTACGCAAATCAACAGCTTTGCCAACACCGCCAGTGGGAGGTCTATTTAATTCTTTCATCTCCAGCATGTCCAAAAGAAGCATAGAAACAGGAATAAAATTACCAGTAGACACAGCAATCCGGTTGAGCATTCTAACACACCTAAGTCTCAGCGGAAAGTATCGAGCAGTTGGAACTAGACGGGCAACCCCAGAAATAATTTGGGTCAATGGATAAGCAAGGGGTTTAAAATCAGCTTCAGAGCTGTAGGCACAAATAGCACCAGTCCAAAGTTCAAGACAGTTCATGAACTTCCACTCATAAACCTTTCGGAATGCTTCCTGCAATTTGAGCCAAGGGCATTGTTTAGGCAAAACAAAAATGGAACAAACACCAAAAAACTGCAATAAAGAAAATGGGTTGCACATGATCTTCCACTATATCACAAGATTTAGACTCAAAGACACAGATGATAAATAATTAATTACAGAAGTAAACTTTTATAGGCAAAAAAGTGTGAATGATGCCTTGGTTTTCATATTGAGTGCATCCCGCAGAAGCATTGCCAATTGTCGGATGAAAACAAATGCATGTTGATATGCAGCTGGAAGGTCCACTTGAATAAGTTCTATGACACAATTGGCAAGAAACTGGATGTGCTGCAATTTTACTGCATTCATGAACTGGCAGTTCAAAACATAGGCCTTGTATATTCCCCTGAAACATTCATCTAGGCAATCAGATCCTAGGCGAACGCAAAGATCTCTAAGAAATAGAAAGGAGACAACAGGGAGAGCACCGCCTCCTGTACCCCAAAAGTGAAGTGCGACCTGGGAAAAAAAAAGGAAAATCTTATATCTTACTTGCCACATTATTTAAAACTAAAAAAAAAAATACCAATTAAGGAACAAGCAGTCACTGCAATCACTACCAACTCATGACCATGTTCAATGTTCCTCAAACATTGAAAGACAATATTCTCCAGATAGGAACAAATTAAACCTCTAATGATCCTAACTGATAAACTAATTTCATACACACAGGCGTATAAAGAGTACAAAAGGGTTCCACATTCCAACTGCTAATGTTGCTTGTTCAAGACTGCAGCTCCACGACCACAAGTGGACCATAAACAAACAGTAACTGCAAAAAAATCATTGACTTTGAAAAAAAAAAATTCTATATGGCTTCCTCTATACCTTAATGTATTTCCTCAAAAGGCTTGGAAAAGCGGCCAAAAAGACAGATGAATATTGGAGACGCCGTAAAGTGAATGATATCATTTTCATGTCAGTCATTTGGTTCAAAACGTGTAAGGCATTTCCAAGATATGACTTCACTACGTGGTTGTAGCTCTTCCATTGTTTTGTGTTCGTTAGCTCATTTATGGTCTCTTTCTTTCCACCAGAAGCAGGAAGTTTCAACAATTTGCGGAGAACTCTATCCATTTCAGATAGTGTAAACAACATTATCTTGTTAAATACACTGCTGGACATGACACTAAACTTTGCTGATGAGTCGTTCCCAGTATCATCACCGTAGTGACAAGCAGTCCTGAAAGCTCTCATAAGAGAACGAACCGCACTTAGTTTTCCATCCTCTCGAATTGAATTACACCAAGAATCGACCATTGCAGTAGTTATAACATTTTTGGACGGTTTCTCCCCCTCCTCAGAGATATCATGCTCATGAGTCTCATCATCCAACTGGGTTTCTGGATCTTCCATGTCAACATCAACATCATCCTACAAAAGATTGAAACAATTGAAATTGCACCTGCGATTTCTGCAGCCATTTGAACCAGTCAAAAACTTGAACATAATTTGCGTAACTTACATCAATATCCTCATCATCAAACGTAAGAAGGTCTTTGCCATGTTGTTGCAAATACTGATAGAACTCTGGGTCCTGTAAAACCAATGAAAGGAAAGTTAAAATCTTTAGCAATGAGCAAATGAAAGATAAAAAGAAGAAAAATTTAGGACAAAAATCCAGAAACCCAAAACATCAAAAACATAGAAAAAAGGAAGAAACCTTTTTCTGAAGCCTTTCAAGCTGCTTTTTATGTTCTTTAGCTGCACTCTGAGATTTTGACATTGTTTTACTTTTCTTGCCCTTTTCTCCAATTTCATCTAACACCAAAAAGTTGAAACCTTTAATGGTTGCGAGCTTGTCTAACTCGACGCCGGTGTTTGGGTGTTTCGCCGGTGGCGAGAAAGATTACCCACCGGCTTCTTTATGCTCCAGCTGGGCTTCTTTGTTGGCTAAGGGCTTTTCTTTTCTTTTTTTTTTTTGATGTGGGGGTCAAGCCCTCTAGGGTTTAAGGGGCTGTCTGATTTTCCACTTTTAACCCCATAAGTTGGTTTCAATGGCCACGTGGCGCTTGCCCATTTAAGTTGAAATATGCTTAGTTTAGTCCTGAGATTGAAGAAAGTTCGAAGTCCTTTACTTCATATGTTCATCATCAAGTAAAAATTTGCACTTGATGGAATCAGAATCCATTATTGAATCAAAATGGAAGATCATATATTTCTTCCAGATAGTATTGGTACAAGATGAATCACTATTTCCTTAGCAATTTGTTGAAAAAATGGTTCCAAGGGAGTACAAAATTTTGGTCTCCAATCCAGTTGTGGTTCTATCTCCTTTCTTTCAGCAATAGTTTCTTCGTTTCCTTCTCTTTCCTGGATTTAAGCCAGCACAAATGGCCCTCTTCTCCAGAAAGAATCCTGCTGCAAAGGAAAATTTTCAAAGCTTACAATTCTACCCAACTTAGGGCTATTCACATAGTACCAGATAATCATTCAGGATAACAAGCTCCATCTTCAGGATCATGTAACAAACAATCTAAATCAGGCATATATCCTGCTTCTTTCATTTGTAGAATCAGCAACTCTAAAACCTCATACACCCACTCTGTGTGAGACCCAACCTTATCACCAACAACAAAGCTGTAAACCTGATTTCTTACCTCAATCCAGCTCCTCCCTGCCTCTTTTCTACTCCCTGTTCTTCGCATCAGCTTTCTCATTCTTGCAAATTCCCCCCACTTGCCCTCAGCAGCATAGATGTTTGACAACATCACATAAGCACCCACCTTCTTTGGCCTCAAATCCAATACCTTCAAAGCTGCTAATTTGCCCAAATTTGGGAGCTTATGTGCCTTACAAGCACCAAGAAGTGCACCCCAAACAGATTCATCAGGCTTAAATGGCATGCTCCCAATCAGTTGATAAGCCTCCTCAATTCTCCCAGCACGGCCTAGCAAATCGACAACACATCCATAAATCTCCTGATCAGGGGTTATGTTATAATTACTCATTGATTCAAAACACCTCAAGCCTTCATCTACAAGTCCGGCATGGCTGCAAGCACTCAGAACGGCCATAAAAACTATCCTGTCAGGTCTAATTCCAGAGCTGACCATCTCATCAAACAACTCAACAGCCTGTTTCCCATATCCATGTGCCCCATAACCAATCATCATAGAAGTCCAAGAGACCAAATTTCTTTCAGACATTTCACTAAAAATTTTGCGTGAGTCAGCTATGCTTCCACACTTGGCATACATGTCAATTAGGGCATTAGCCAGCACCAAGTTCCCTTGGAGACCTCTGCGAACAATACCTCCATGAACCTGTTGCCCGCAATTCAAAACTGCTAAATTTGCGCAGGCAGCAGTAATACTGGTAAATGTGAAGCTATTTGGACTAAAACCCTCTGATTCCATTTGTGAGAATACATTCAAGGACTCTTTAGAATCTTGTCTTTCATAACCAGCAATCAAGGTGTTCCATGTGATCAAATTTTTTTCAGTCATCTCACGGAAGTATTCATTTGCCTCGGATAAAAAACCACACCTACAGTACATGTCTAGTATAGAATTCATGACAGGAAGATTAGAACCAAGCCCGTTTTTAATGATGGCTGCATGTATTTGCCTGCCAAAAGTATGTGAGCCTATTGTAGCACAAGCTCTAACCGCAATTGAAAAACTATGGGGATTCAACTCTGTTTCCTCCTGCTCACCAAAGAATGAAAAAGCATTAACCAAAATAATTTCATGGCATACTAATTCAAACCCAAAATAATATGGTTGTTTGACATGATCCACAGAGCACATTTGTATACTAAACTAAATGCTAGATAACATACAATCTTGAGAACTGAAACTACCAAGGTAAATTATAAAATGTCTAACACTACATATAAAACGTGGGAAGTTTCCATAATACAGTATAAACCCAATATCATGCTTGTTTTGAACGACATACCAGTAACATTTCTCTGAAGACTTGAAGTCCACCATAGCCATCACCTCTATGAGTGTATCCAGTGATCAAAGTAGTCCAAGTGACCATATTTTTCTCCTTCATATCGCTAAAAACCGAGCATGCATCCTCCATGCTAACACAACACGTAGCATACAGGTCCATAAGTGCATTATCAACGTACAAAGAACCCTCTAAGCCATGCTTTACAGCCACCCCATGAACCAAACCTCCACAGGCAAGACATTGCATGGATTTGCAAGCCTTCAACACACTAGATAAGGTAAAGGCATTGGGTTTCACCCCATTATTTACCATCTCACAAAACACAGTCCAGGCATGCACTTGATGGTCGCATGAAGTGTAGCCAGCAATCATGGCCGTCCACATAACCACGTCTCTTTCAGGCATTTCATCGAACAGCACACGTGCATCGTTGATCAAGCCCTTCTCAAAGAAGGACTTGATGACATTTGTGGCTAATATGGCAGGCCCTTTGGCTCCTTTGGATAGGTTGGTATAGGGTATCTTTGTCCAGGTGCAGTGGCTTTGGACCCACTGAAGGGAGTAGCGTTTGATGGTAAATGGAGCTATTTTCCTAGCAGTGTACATTATCTAGCAACCATAAACCCCAAGGTTTGTTGTTCTATGAACGTTTGAATCATTTTGTCACGAGTTGCACTCTGTGGTCTTGCCAACACCTATGTGGATCTTATATATTGATCTTTTAATTTATTAAATACGAGGAAAAATAAATAATTAAATACAAGGAAAAACAAATAATTTAAATCACACGAATAACGTAAAAAAATTCCGATAACATGTTGATTCTTTAATTTATAAGTACAAAAAAAAACTGTTAATTTAAGTAGCACGATAAACCCAAAGATACCCAATAGTTAGAACTCGTAGCTTCTACCTTTAAGCCAATATAGGGAACAAAAATGAATATGTTGCTGTACTGCCTTCTGATAATGAAAATTGTTAAACAATATACAGTAAAATAACCATGGGAAAAGCCATGATATACAAGTTCAGGATCTGTTGATCCCAGTCATTTATATTTTCAATGCCGATCAACTTCTCTGGTTGATCCAACAAATAAGATATGTAACTATACTACACTAGCCTCTACTACAAACCTGTATGTTGAACTTTTTGAGGCTTGAAAATTGCTTATCAGACTTATTACACTACCCTATACCTTCTGGCTGTACAGTTCAAAGGCTCTCTTGCCTTCAAAAGAATGGTTTTCAATTACACAAGTATCTGAGATTTAGCAGCACCACGAGAGCATTTCTTCCGGCCGCTTTTGCTAAGTGCACAAACACAGATCTCGAGAAGCTCATAGTCCTCCTCCCAGAACAACAAGGAAGCCATCTCTGGATTCTCCAACATCAATCTTGAGGTCAGGAAACCAGCAATGGTCCATGTCTGGTAAAGGCGAGATTGCTTTCCAATAAACTTCCCGGCTCGGGTGTCATAATATTCAGGCCAACGATCTATTGCAAGCCTCTTCTCTGCCAAAGAAACTGCCTTCTGGGCTAGTTCTAATCTGCCCATCTTGATGCATGCCAAAGTAAACTGAAAGAGTAATATAAAATTTAGATTGAGTTTAACTGTGTGAAATAATTCAAGGTATTCGAACACGCCTCACACGGCAAAGATGCATTTTTAAAACAAAACCAAATATGAAGTCATCTCCAAAAGATTAGGGGCCATTCTTGACAAAGGCTATGCCAAACTCCATGAAAATTCAACTTTACCTGCCAAAGAAGTGTTGGCCAAGATCCACCATTATGATAGGACCAAGGGCTGCACAAGTTCATTAAGCACACAGTGTCAGTAGATAATACATTAAAAGATATATAGATATATAGAAAGAGAGAGAGAGAGTCTTCATAATAAAGGCCAAGGTGCTCACGTATTCTTCGGGTCACAGCCAGTAATTATGCGCCACTCCTCATTCTCCACTGCAGGATAGCATATCTTGAGAGGCATTTGCCCCACAATATCATCCCATTTGGCTTCGATTAAGTTCAGAATAGCTTCATTCTGTTTTGGAGTACCCAGTGATGAAACAACGGACCAGAGATTCCCAAGTGTGAAGAACCTAAAATCCATGTGAGCTGGCTGTAGATTGCCAATTAGATACCCACCTTCTCCAGGTATCCAGTCCATTAGCCATGAAGGAATTTGTTCGGGATAAATATTGAACTTGTTGATAGCATCCAAGGAGTACTCTTCAGTTTTATAACGGTAAATCTCATTGATTTTTTTCATGTCAACCCAATAATATTCCCTGATGTGGAATGATAGTGCACTGAGTCTATTGTTGATGGCCCTCACCAAATTCTTTGAACCATCATTTACTGTGAGCATCTCACGAGAGCAACGTAAAGCAGCATAAAACAAAGCCTGTAGATCAAGCATGTGACCGGTTAAGGGAACCAAAGATTAAGCAGGTAAAATAAAACTGAAATAAGAGACAACAATTTCAACAGAGGAAGGCAAAAGCCTCTGTTATAAAATGAGGCAGGGTCCAACACCATGTGGGAATTGAGATAATGTGCAAGAAATCAAAAACAATTATGGTCTACAAAATTAGTATAGCATCCTTTTATGAGGTAACAGAGATAAAATGGCAACTTAACTCATTGAAATTAGGTCACATCTAATACATTTAACAACGGCAATGCAAAGCAACTTTGTTTGATGTTGAAGTTGGGAAATTTTAAAAATTTCAAACAAATGAACTCACTTGGATCTCAAGGGGATGACCATGAATACCCATCCTTCTGTCTATCATGCAGGATCCATCGGTGACTAACAGAGACGGAAACATATCAAATCCATCAGCTAAACACAAATTGAGGATTAGTTTTATTCCTGTTTGAACATCCACTCTCTCTTGCAATGCATAATCACCAGTGATCTTCCCGTATGCCCTCAACAATATAATCCACCACAATCCTATCAACAAAGTCAGTTCAATAAACTCAGTCACTTTTATTTGATGTTCTCGTAGAGCAAGAACTTTGAAAAAAAAAAATCACTTTTGAAAAAAGCAGAGGCACATGAAAATTGCTAAGCATGAACAGCTCAGCATCCTCATTTCCTAAAACTAGCAAGCTGTTGTAGTAAAAGGCCCACAAAGTTGCAAAATACTAACCAGAGTCCACTGGTGCAACACGACCAATAGCTGACTCACCAAAATCCGGATCTAGCACTTCCTCCAACTTATTATCATCAAGAGGTACAGTTCTAACCTTAAAGCTCGCTGGCATCAAACCCTGTCCGGGACTATAGCAGTCAACAGTTTTCTCCCAACTCTAGACCCAAAACAACATAAAGGTTTGTCAAGTTCCAAACGGATAATTTTGCAAGTCTGATCAGTAGAAAGGTTAATCTACATAGCAAAACACACATAAACCTCCGCATTGCATGTTGATGTGTCTCAAGCTCCCAGCAAATGCAAAAGAGGTATCAAATAGAGCTCAAACAAGGAATCTAAAGGCAGAATATACTGTCTTTATGGTGAATATGTGCATTGCATTTGTTTCACACGAGGTGAAGAAAGATTCTCCTTAATGGGCGCATGAAACATGCATTAAGAACTTTAAAGAAGAACACGAAAAGAAAAAAGGGAATCTAGCTACATCCAAAAAAAAATTAAGAAAAACATGTCTTGAATTGCTTAACAGACAGTTAGAAAAACCACTGAAACTGAAACATCCTAGGATGAACTTTCCTAGCATTTGATTTTTCATAACATTAAGGAGAATATGTACAAATATATATATTTATATACCTGCAACTGCAAGGTATGGAGGAGAAAATTCTTGACAATCTCTCCTTCACCTTTAAGCAAGAAAGCCAAAGCCGAAGGCACAAAATCACGAATGAAAACCTGATCATAATTCAAAGGCAG